ATTTTTTTGTGAGGGTATTTTCTTTTTGCTTTTTTCTATTCTATACTAATGGTAAACAGGCTGGTAAATAGTAAAAATACTTTTTTTTTTTTTTTTTTTTTTTATAAAAGAAGTAAAATGAATCTTTGTAATGTATTTCTGGCATTTATATTCCCACTTCTTCTTAGGTTTGACATCATTCTTTCAGATAGTCACTATTTTTATTGTTCATTGAAAAATAAACGTTTTTCAATAAATAGCAAAGAGTAAATTTTGTCATGTCTCCAAAATTAGATGAGGGTGGGAATGTGAAACAAGCAATTAATTTTATTTGGCCTAAATGCAAATTTGCGGATGACAAAATGACACATTGTCACTATAAGAATTTAGAACTGTTTGACTGAATTAAGAGTGTGCTTTAGCGAGCTTTTGATTGCATGACGACGGTACAGTAGGACGTAATGGCATCACTAAAGTCATCTGCGCATGCGAGAACATTAAGTTCTCCTCGTCGCATGGATTCCAGGACACAATTTGGCCAAATCTACATATGCAGAGAACATAGGATGCAGGGTAAGATGGTCACGCAAGAGTGATTCCTTTCTAGTGCCACGTCCTTGCACAAACTGAAAGGTCCCTAATATTTAGGCTCTGAACTGTGATGTCGGGGTTCAAATCCTACTCTATTCACTTTTGTTCTTGGTCACTATCTACATTGTAGATACAATTGCTTTCCACAGTATATTATTAAATTGTTGTAAATTACAGATGATTAGCTGTGTCATTCTCCAGGGAAGAGTGGAGGATTAGCACTTTTTTTGTTATTGCATCAAATTAGGATGTAAATATAATACGACATCATTATCATGGCTTTACGTACTATTATTCAGTCATGAGCTAAAAAATTAAAAATTTTAATTCCACATTTAAATAGCTTCATTTGTCTATTTAATTAAGTAAAACTTAAATTAAAAATTTGAATCAAAAGAAAAAATTCCCCAGTCAATTTTCAGTCAGCTTTTGTGTAATAAGTCCCTTTCAGACAGAAAATACCGCAATTATACAGTAGTCACGCCGGTGCTATTACCGGTGTAGACCCTTTCACACAATTATTAAAAATCCGGTATAAATACCGTATCCTGCCTGAAAGCGGTCTGGCACAAAAGAAGTATTTTGCGTCTGTAAACAAAGAGGGCGCAATTTTATACTGGCAACCCTGATCTAAAAACCAACTCTTCGCATGTTCAACAAAAATGTTTCGCACTTTGACCTCTGATTTGTTATGCTTCAGTAACGCTACGGTATTTTGACTAAGTCCCAAAGAAGTCTAACCTAAGCCGGCGTTTAGGCGTATTTACCCTTTGACATAGAATGCTGCCGTTTGCGAAAAACGGTATTAATACCTTTATAATTTCTTTTGCGTATATCTTTAAATTGGCTGGTAACCAATTTAAGGATTTTTTAAAGTAAAATATCTGTAAATCAGATGAAAACTACTTTCCTTTATCAGTTTCTCATTGGAAGTTAATAGTTTATTTCATCATTTCAAATGAGCAAACTGTTTTTACAAAGATGACAGACAGGAACATTGAAATTAAAACATAGAGATAAGATTACAATTAAACTGTGAATCATGACAATATAGAATGTAAATGACCAGGGAATTAAAGTGAAGTCCTTTAAAATAGTGCAAAAATGCCAACAATATTTATTACTAGTATTTACCTGTTTCCTCCATACTTTTTGACATGAGCTCTACTTCTCACAGCTACATTTACTAAATACTTGCAATCAAACTGTTGTAGATTAACAAATGTTCCACTAAAAGATAAAAAAATAAGTAGCTTTGTATTGTTTATTAGCCATTCAAACCCTATGTGTTACTACTCAGTGTCCGTTGATTAAACTAAGCCAGAAGTGAACAGGGCCCCGAAGAATGGAGCCAAAATATCCAATACAGTGCAGCGGGCGAGTAATAATGAGTTTGTTTACTTCATTGCCACTACGACTAACACTGAATTATGACATTAGGACATTTATTAATATTAGGCACTATATAAATATTGATTATTATTATTATTAATAATACTGTAAAACATATGGTCGGAATGGCTAATAAACAATACAAAGCTACAATATCAATAACACCACTGAGAAAACTCCACAAATTTAGTAACAACATGTAATATTGTCAGATTCAATAGATAAATTTTTAACACTATCACCATTCACTGAACAGCTAAATAGACTACATACCTAATACTGTTGCAATATCAAATTATGTATGTGGTATATATTTATTTCAACAATGTTGTTTAGTGTAGATCTAGTTAATGTTAATTTAAAATATTTGATACATACTGGTACACAGCAAAACAATACAAAGGCAACAAAAAAAAACCTCCCAAAGTAAATTGGATTAAATATTTAATATTTAAAAAAAATAAATTTTATTTCAATATATAAAATGACTAGAATTTGAATTCATTATACATTTTGTATAATGACGACTTAAAATTCAGTATAATAGCTTTTACATTACATTTACATAATAATGATTTGGTCACAAACCATTACAGTACATGATTAGACTTCACAATATAATGTTTTGCACATGGTAAATTCAAGGTTATTATATCTAAATAATGGTTTACTTTTTATTTATTACATATCAACATTTAGGCCAATAGTAATTGTTTATAAATAAAGTAATCATTAGAGGCCATAGTTTATAAATAATTTGTTATACAAATTATGTAATTAGTAATAAATATTCATTATTGCTCTAAAGCATGAATTCTAATGTATGGCCACTTGACACAAGTGTGTTCCTTCTCAGTATGCTAGTATTACATTCTTAACCCTCTAGATACTGTCTTCGACTATAGTCGAAATTGACCTCAAACCGAGAATTCCCATTTTCGACTGCAGTCGAAATTTAGTGACTAAAAAAATAGGTGGTTTTCAAATTGCTCTTCTGTTTTTATTTTAACTCCAATACGTCAGAAATTTTGAACACGCATGCGTGAAGCTTTTTTCTTTCAAAAACTGTGAAGAACTCACATGCGCTTATATAAAAATGTTTAGAAATATCAATTTGAAATCGTTATTAATTTCGAAAATTTTCTGAAATTGCCGCACAAGATGTGTACACAGCTGAGGAAGCGATTGACCTGATTTTTTTATTCAGACAGCGATGAAGGTTAGTTTTTAGATGTGCGAAACTTAGACGTGCCTGATAGCGATGATGACGGTGGGGCTTCAAGCAGTTCTGACGGCGGAGATGTTCTTGATGAAGATGAGCCTAGGCCTAGAAATGTGAGGGTGGTCGATGCTTTTGAATGGAAAGATCGTGCTTATAGTTATGAATAGTTGGGTAAATAAATTATATAACTGTGTGGAATACGAATGTTTTATATTTGTTTTTATTTTTTTTTTGGCTATAATTTATTTTTTGGGGGGTTTTTGCTGACGATTTATATGTAGCATTTTTCTGTCATTTCTATTATATTATATATATTAGATTATATTATATTATATTATGAAAAAAAAATCTTAAAAATATAAATTATACATCAAATGAAAGCTTATTCTATAAGCTTTCTTTGTTTTTGGAAACATTTTTCTGTATAATTTACAGAAAGTTCCCAAAAATCCACCAGAACGAAGTCTACTCAAAAAACGCAAAAAAACCTAGTTACACTGCAAAAGAATCCAGTATTCAAGGGTTTGCACTACTAAAGAATCCGGTATCCAGAGGGTTAAATTATATAATTAACTATCCTACTTACCCTGTTAGTTTGTTCAATATTGGCAGCCAATTTCTTCCCCCCCCCCCCTTCTCTCTCTATTTCAGTTGCCTGCCTTCTCAAGTATTGGATAAATATTATCGTCACATCTTGGCTCACTTTCAGATACGTGACTGTTAATGTTGATTGCTATAATAAAGAAAAAATAATATTCAATTTAACAACCTGTTTTTGTATAATGTTGAAATGAAGAAAATTAAATGAAATAATCGATAAATAAAATTTTTTCAATCAAATAACTCCAGTTATTTTGTTTAATGTGTCAACTGTGCAGACTACCCACGCTAAAACACTGCCACTTGTTCTCATCATTTAAAACTCCATTTTTACTTCAAACTTCAAATTTATTTCGCCAATGACATAAACAAGACACACAATGGTGAGAGACCAGTTTAGAAGCCTAGGCTTGTCTCAGCTGTCCCTTTTAACAGATACAAGGACAGCAAAAAAAACCCCAAAAAACAAAACTAACAAAGATGAAATAAAACAAACAAAACAAACCAGAGCCTTGCAGGTGTCAACGCTCCTATGCATGATACATGACTTAACCAACCATTTTTTTCTGATTAAGTCATCATTAATGACATAATCAGAAAATATGGTTGGGCCAAATTTGTATGGTGGTTAAAAAATTCAGGGGAAGTCTTTATGGCCCAAAATAGTGATTTTAGACCACATTGGAAATGTAATTTGATGGGCAAATTACAGTAATATTTTTAGCAAATTTCTTTGAAAAAATTTCGTAGGCCTAAGGCCTAGGCTATACGATATGATACGATTTATTGGGTTCACTTTTAGGTCGGTGGCACCCATCAATTTGATGGTGCACCCATTAACAATATAAAATATAAACAAAGGAAAGCAAAAGACAGTTCAAAAACAACAAACGGATAAATAGAATAACAAAAAAAAAAACCAAGCAATTTACAGTAAAGTTTTACCCTTATTTGTATTCTAAAAAATTCTTACTATTATATTGTAAGTAAACTGAATGAAACACACTGAGCTGCACAAAAACCTGTACTTAGTAGTAGTGTGTAAAGTAATTACCGGAACGTCGATTATTTATTTATTTTCTTTTTCTACGTACCAGGGCAGAATCAAAGTCAAAAGGTATACAGTATTTTCATTTTACAGTAGTTTGGAACGATATCGGGCTGGCAGTGGCCTACTAGACTACAATTTATTTGAAAATAGCTTGGGCCCGATCATCCACGCCAGTTGGGCCCAATCGTTAGTGACCCAAAGTTTTCATCACGATGATTAAGAACATACACAATCTATTATTTAAATGTATTTTACGTATTAGACGATAACACGATTATCATTAATTAAACGATCTACCAAAATTGCATCACAGTAACTACTGTACTAAACTAGGCCTTATGTTTTTGTGGAAAGCCTAACCTACATGTAGATAGTCGTTATGTACCCGACAGTCGGCTGCCTTTATATCTTAACAAGGGGCGGATTTAGGGGGCGGCCTAGCCCCAGCCCCCTTTTGGGAGGTCAAAAAAAAAAAAAAGAGTCATCTAGAGCACAATAATTTCATGGTGGCATGCCCCCGGACCCTTAGTACAGTGTTGTCTTCATCGACCTAACTTTCTGCCCCCCTTTTGGACATTTCTGGATCCGCCCCTGTTTACCGTCTTCAGTTTGCATTCAAAGGGTACACTGCTGCATAGCCAACTGTTGGGGATATAGTACCTTCAAAAGACTACTTATACAACAGAAAAAATGTCACATGGAGGTAGTGAAAAATGGAAATCTAAATGAAAAAATAGGCTCCAGGGAGTGTGTGTCTACTGCTTTATACAGGAGTTTTTTGTTTTGTTAATTTTATCTTATGTTCTTCAATATGCAGATGTGTGTATTAATGTAGTGTATCTGGATTTTTCATGAAAATTTTCTTTCACAATATTTTGTATAGGCCTAGTACTATATTGAACTAAAAACACTTGGAGTTACCACGTTATGTCGTTGATCACGAAGAGTACTACCGTGTTCTAGAGGGCGTCCTTCAAATGCAGTAAAAGGCGTTCGTGGCGAATGTGTGCTGCGTCTCTATAAACCGTGTTCGAGTTTCGAACACAATTTTGTTTGAGTTCCGAACGCAATGCGATTGTCAATAGAGCGCCCTCTACCTCGTGGTAGTAGTACCCATGTCTAAACCAGATTTACCCTTTTCCGCCATCTTAAATTGCTACATCATGACAGTGTCTATGCCACCGTTGGGGGCAGTAGACACAAAAACGATGTATTTCACCAAGTAGTAAAACCTTTTTTTAATTTTAGGCCTCCTTCAAAATGCCTATGCCTACAGCAGTGGATTTTTTTTTTCCTGCAAAACTAAAATAGTTTCATCCATGCTGACTTGCCGATCGGTTAGCGTGAGCCCTGACTGAACACTGCAGAAACTTACATTGAACTTTGCATTGTGAGGAAAAACAAAATGTTGGAAAATTTTATTTTTACGCATGCACATTTGCATAAATGTCTACACACACACGCACTCGCACTACACACAGGGAAAACTGTGAAAAGTGATTACAATAGTTCCTATTGCATTACATGCAAAGGAACTAAAAAGAGGTCATAAGAGTACCTATTGATAATTTGAAATAACTTTCATTTTTAGGAGTTTCTAAAAGTCATAAGCATATTTGATGTGTTTAGTCAATATTGTTCCATAAATGCGGGCCATGGACACAAATTGAGAATTGGCTTTTAGTCAGCCTAACAAATAGAATACAAAGCATATTACATTGTCTTGTTTCATACCAGTGTACTGAAATAAATTATTAAACACCTTTGGTTCATGGTTATGTCTATACATAAAGCATTCTACTTGTACCTTATTTATATCATAAATAGTCAGAAGATTATGTTGATGAAATAGTGGCTCAGTATTGCACCTATGTGATGATGTAATTATACGAATAATACGTTTTTGGAGGTTATATAGTTTGACAAGGTTTGTAGGATAGTCACTTCCCCAGATATTTCCATACTGGAGGTAAGGCAAAATTAAGGTATTGTGAAGAGCGAGTAAAATATTTGTAGGAAAAAACTCTTTGACTCTGGCAATTACTCCTATTGATTTAGAGATTTTTCTTGCAACGGAGTCAATATGAATTTTTCAATTAATATGTTCATTTAAAATTATCACCAAGAACTGAACTCCTTTCAGTTAACTATTGCTTTACCATTGATTTTAAGACAATTTTCAATTTCAGAACAATTCTTCTGATTAGGGCGCAAAATTACATTTAGTTTTGGTATTTATTTAACAATAGTTTGTTAATGCTAAGCCAATCAAATACATTTACAAGATCATGGTTTATGTCAGTTAACAGCTGATCAAGATTATCTCCTGACAGGAAACAGTCGTATCATCAGCAAAAGACAGTTTTAAGTACATTACTGACGAAATGAATATCGTTAGCATAAATTAGAAACAGCAATGGGCCTAAAACTGACCCTTGTGGTATGCCACACGTACGTTATGCTTGTGAGATTTGATTTGTATGCTGCGTAGTGTTGGAGATAAGATTCATAATGGCATCAGATGTTGAATGGTTTTCAAGAAACCCAAATTGATGGTCGTTGAGGATAGTGTATTTATCTAAGAATGAGTATAATTTGGAATACATAATTTTTTCAAGATTGAAAGGTATAATGTTTGTTTTAAACCTCCATGGGATAATGAATATCTAACCGTCTTATGATGTTTATAAAGAAAGAAAAAACAGGCTTGCAATCATGCTGTTGCAAAGAATTTGTTAGCAGACGTCGCAGTAGGAGATGCAAATTTTTTGGTCGCAAGTAGAGTTTTGCAACAAAGTCCAGTAAGAGAGTAAAATAAACCACCAATGACAGCACATAAAAGAGCACCAGGCACCTATTTCAAATGTGGTCACTGTAAAAAGAAACTTATAAAATATTTTCAATGAAATATACTGTCGTCTATAGTAATAAAATCGTTTATGACAAAAAGCCCTATTTTCGCACACATGGTATTACACTCAAATACAACCTCAGATAGCAAATTCCATGGTAGTTTATATGATTATCAAACATCGAAATATTAATATTATTATTCTGAAGAATTAATCCTCAAACATATTTCATCTTAATAAAGTCAAACTACGAAAGTCACACATAACAGTATTTCTATAATAAATATCATGCGAGTCATGTTAATCTAAACTATTTGTTTTGTGTGTTGATAATTTTTTATCTCCAGTACAAAGAGTTTAGCCAATCAGCTATCTATGTGGTAGAAATAAAAAGTAGGCCAGAACTATTGGTGACTCCAAACCAGCCAGACGTGAACAGATTATCATCGTCCCCAAACTGCATGACCGAGACAAAAAAAAACGTTACAATATATAATTTTAATCTTTCTGGTGTCGAAATAATTAATAAATTATTAATTTTACACAAATTTTCAGATACTGGGACTTATCTGATTTCCTTGATTCATCATTTGTTTTGTATTGTAAGTTTTTACATGAAATTAAAGTAGTTTCTGTAAAGTGTATGATTTATTTCAAAAATTATTTAAAATTGTTTTTGTTCATAAGTTTCAGATCTGATAGTACGAATGTTACTCTAAAAAGTTTATCTGATGACCTGTCATGGCGTCGGACTACAGTGAGGTAGAGGCCTGTACAACGAGAAAGCAAATGCCCCTGCCCGCACCCTTCACTGGTGCCACCACCGCTCTCCCCCCTGGATATATAGTGCCCCAGAGCCAACCAAAATTATGGGTATGAGCCAGCCAAATTTGGGTAGAGTTGTGGGTACAAGATGGCATGGGTAGCATTTACCCCATATTCTTTATTTACTATGGTGTACAAAATCATTTGTATCTGTGCCTATTGATCTGTTCTTAAAATTTTTAAAAAAACTTTAAGTTTTCTTGTGAACGCATAAATTTTTCTCGAGTGCCACCGATTTGAAGGTAATGAATAAATAAGTATTATCAACTGGGAACACTCGCTGATACATATCATCCAGGACTTCACTACATTAGAGTATTATAGAATTTGAATCTTTCTTACTCAAAATAAAATTAATGATTTATGCATATGTTCAGGTTCTGGGACTTTATTTTTATAATT